TACAAATCAAACACAATTAATTACAATTCCTAGTAAAACATTTTCTAAAAAAATCAATTCCCTGTAAAACATTTTCTTTCCATCCATTTTCTACCCTTACAATCAAACGGACCCTTAGATATGTTGCTAACTCTTTTCTGATGCTGATCTCACCAATTTGACTATAAAGGATTGTCTTCCACAGCTATATCTTGAAGTTCTGTTTATATACCTGTATTTTCAACAAACACTTATTTGTTATCTTATTCCGTTAGTTTTAATCTTCGGTATTCTTCATTCATCATGCTTTCAGATTTCAGTGCAAGAACTTGTTGGTATCGATGGTAGCCTGATACCGATAAAAAGTGCCGTTTAATATTGTTTCCTTGCTATCTTGGCGTACATTGCCAAAGAAAGTGTAATAAAAGAACCCAGTTAGTTTTCACTATTGACCATACGACTTCCAGGGAACCTAGACTAGGATATAAATCTTTTGTCATGAAAATCTGGTTAGGATTGAAAATTTAATTCTTGTGACTCCTCGACCTTGTGGAGATGAAGATAGGTTAGTTACAGTTGGTTTTATTTACTCAACTTTCCTAGGAAGCTAAAATTATAACAGTTTGGATTCCAAACATGTTAGTTTCACTTATATAATATAATTTGGGGGGTGGGGCAGGCATTTTTGATATGTACTTGCTCTCAAAATTAAGAGTGGTTGATGTTGGTGGTGCAGAATATGGGAGGAGCTATTGTTGACAAGTTGCGGTGGAGGAAGGCGGAGGTGGTGCTGTGGTTTCACTGGATTCCTAAATTTCCTGAGATTAAACCAGGGGAAGAAATAACTATTTCAATAATGGTAGAAAATGCACAACAAGTCATAAAACATGAAGAAACCAAGCCCAGTGTCAATATATGCTCTGTCCAAGAATATTGCATAGAAAAATAGTAACTAAAACCAGGAATGGGGAACGGAATAATAGCACTACAAGGAAATAATGCAAGGAACAAGTATATTTGCTGCTGCAGAATTACATGAATATATAGAGAGGATACACAATTGTGTTCCTTTATTCTAGGACTGCCTACCTTATTTAGATAACAGAATCAAAACTAATTAATTCAAATAACAACTAATCCTAGAACTGAGGAAACAACTCTCTCGTAAAAATAAGGAACAAAGTCAAGAACCTCTTTATTTCGAAATCTTCAACACGACTATACAAATTGCATAGTCCCAGCTTGTCTAACATCTTTTCAAAAACAGGTTTAAACAACCCGTTCGTTAATGAATCATCAACTTGCTCAGATGAAGGCACATATACTATACAGATTGTCCCATCTTCTATCTTCTGTTTGATGATGTGTCTGCCTCTCTCTACATGCTTTGTTATATCATGTTTTATCTCCGATCTCCCAGTGTTAAGTTCATTTAATAATAGCTTTAGCCACATTATTTTACATATCCCATGAGCCAAAGCTCTAAATTGTGCCTCTGCACTACTCGTGTCAACTACTCTCTGCTTCTTACAACTCCTAGTGACTAAATTGCCCCAAACAAATGCGCAATAGCCTGTTGTAGACCTCCTGTCTGTCCTTGCTGATCCTTCCCACTGCATCTGTAAATGTTTCAACAGCTCTCTTAGAATTCTTTCTAAAAAATAAACCAAGACCTAGATTCCCTTTTAAATATCTCAAAATTTGATAAACTGCTTCCATATGTTCTTCTAAGGGAGCATGCATAAATTAGCTCACGACACTAACAAAGGCAATATCAGGTCTAGTATGAGACAGGAAAATAATTTTACCTACTAGATGTTGATATATACCTTTATCAACTGAGTACCTTCAAGACAATCTCCCAACTGATGATTTGGATATAGGAACATCAGAAGGCTTACTACCAAGCATACCTATTTCTCTAAAAGATCCAAAAAAAACTTCCGCTGAGAGAGAGATACCATTCCTGTTTCTAGCAACTTCCATCCCAAGAAAATACTGCAAGGCAAGGCACCCAAATCTTTTATTTCAAATTTAATTGTGAGAGCTTTCTTTAGCCTTTCCATTTCTTCATAGTTATCACCTGTTAGAACAATATCGTCCACACAAACTATTAGAACGATAATCTTTCCTTCTAAGTACCTGTAGAACATAGTATGATCTGATTGGGCTTGTTTATATCCTTGTTCACATAGAGCTTTCATGAATCTTCCAAACCAAGCTTGAGGAGATTGTTTTAGCCAATACAATGTTTTTTCCAGCTTACATACTTTCTTGTGATTCTTAGCTTCATCAAGGAGGCAAGTCCAAAGTCACCATTTAGGAAAAGCATTCTCGACATCCAATTGTTGAAGTTTCCAATCTAAATTAGCTGCTAGAGACAATAGAACCCTTATGGTATTTAATTTTGCAACTAGAGCAAAGGTCTCCTAATAGTCTAGGACTGAACAATGAAACTGTCATACCATCGAGTCGAACATAAACCACTTTTTTGAAATCGTTGGTTTGGATCCACATAATCTATCAATACTTTGGTTTTGAACCCAATCAAATCGCTTCGAAGTGGTTTGATTTCAATTTCAATATTTTCAAACCGTTTCAAACTGTCAAGCCATTTACAAAAAAAATATGAAAATAAATTAATTTTAATTTTACCAAATTTAATTAAAACTAAACACATGACAATTAAAAAGATAAATCCATATTAGATATAACCCAATTAAATTCATTACGTAAATAGACAATTATTCATCTAATTAATTAATTAAATGACTTAATAGAGGCAAACTCCATACATACTCGACGATGTGCAGAATGTCCATTTTAGGCAGAGAAATTAAGCTCTCGGCATCATATGCAGAATGTGATGGCCTGAGGAGAGAGAGAGAAGAATTGAAACTATTGTTCAAGGAATCCACAGTGAAATAGGCTACACTAGAACTTAAAAAGATTTGAAGACTAAACCTAAAAGCCTTGTTCAGATTAAAAAGGAACTGGAGAATGAGATGCTAATTTAACAGAAGAGAAGTCAAGAATCAAATATCGAGCTCGTTTCTCTTCTTCAAGAACTCGACAAAACCATAGAACAACAGTGATATAGGATGGTATTAACGATTTTCCTCGAAAACCGCTACTCAATGCACCCCCCCCCCCATGGTGACATCGACCCCCCGGAGGTC